TTTTGAGACTCAAAACGACCTCTATTCTCTGCTGATCGTTGCCTTTGATTATGCTTATGCTTCATCATTCGATGAAACTTCTTACTAACTAAGGCAAGTTCCCTTTCAAAGTCAGAATCAATTTCATTCTCTGACTCATACTCATACTCACGACTTTTTTAAAAGCAAGATGCTTTCTGCGTTTTTCATCCTCTTTTCCTACCTGTCGAATAAAATGTTCATGACTTAGAAGGGAACCAACTAGTTCATCAACAGATAGGGTATTTAAATTTCTGGCTTCTTCTATGGCAATACGCTTAGGAAGCCATTCCTTAGGTAAGGAACGAAGAATCTTTCTAACCATATCTTTGGAGGGAATAGTTCTACCTAGACCCTTCAATTTGTTGGTTAATCCAGTAAACCTAGAATACATCTCATGGATTCCTTCATTTGACAACATATCAAAGGTCTTGTATTCATGCTTAAGTAAGTCAATACGAGTTTCCTTGATGTTTGACGTACCTTCATAGGTTGCTTCGAGAATGGACCAGATTTCTTGAGCAGATTCACACTGCTCCACTTTATCGATTTCATCAGGTGAGATGGCGGTTTGCAATATATGCATAGCGCGACAATTTAGTTGTGCGCTTTTCTTCTGTGCATCCGTCCATTCATCCTGACGCTCTAGATCCATCTCGACAGGTCCGTCTCGAACGATAACCCAAAGGTCGGCATCGATGCCCCACATGAAGGTTTTCATGCGTTTTTTCCAGGCATTATAGTTTGTGCCGGTGAACCAAGGTGGGTTATGGTGAGAAGCGGGACCAAACGTTGACTGAGAACTTGACCCCATGGATCGCTTACCCTTTGGCAGTAGTGAACTCCTTCAAAGGAAGGCTCTGATACCACTTGAAGGTCGATCTCATATTAGGGATTTTAGATCAGAAAGGTAAAGTTGGAGAGCACAGCAAAAAGAAAATGAGATGAACTAATAGAGACTGATCTCTGCGTTTTGACGATATGGGCCTAAGACAATTAAAGCCCAATCGCGATAGTAGAGAAGCAAAACAAAGAAGATGGGCCTTGGCGAAGTAGAGTCCAGAAGTAAGCAACAGCAGAGAACAAACTCTCTGCTTGAACTCTGCACAACCAGAAACAGAGGAAAACAAAGACAGGGGAGAAGGATAAAAGAAGAGCAGTAAAGTAAAGAACACAGAAGTACTTTTTAACGAGGTGCACCCAACAATGGCTACTTCCTCGTCCCGGCAACAGTCAACACTACTGCCGAGAGACACTATGAATTTTCTGCTTTTACAAGACTCAAATACAAAGGAAATTGACCAGTCAGCCAGAGTTTCCAAACCGAAACTCTGCACTTATCTGCCACTCTCTCAGATCCTATACCTCTGGAGAAAGAACACTCTTTTCACTTAAACAACACAGCCCTCTACCGCTTAATGTTTCTAAGATCAAAAGCTTACAAGACTAAGCCAAGGAAACACCAATATATAGCCGCTAAGTCTGTAGTCGTTGAGGAGGAAAAGGACCGTTGCCAATTGTCCCAGCATTGAAGAAGTTTCCCTCAACATATGTCTTTCCATTTCTGAAACTCGCCAGGTTGTAGCTCTGATAATTCAGCCTTTTCAAATAGGGATTGCAACTCTGATCTCGCCCAACAGCTATCCCTGTCGGGAATTACTACGTACTAAACAATTAAATCAAATCCTACTGTCGTAGCTCAATGAGTTAATTATTTAGCCTGAAGAACGATATCCCAATCAAGACCGCATAGTAACTTATTTAATCCACTTTTGCTTCGATAAGTTACTATGTCACATGAAAATGAAATAGGTTCAGTTATTAGGGTTTCACTGTCGCTAATAACCTAATTAATTACGATTCATTGTATTGGTGGCCAGTCAACACAAAGCATTAAGTAACTCCATGCGATAAAGATTGGAAGAAAAGAAATACGAATTAATCCATCAAGTATAGAAATAGCTACATCCTATGGTGTTTCCCCCAGAAATCGGGGTTTAGTTCATGATGAAACTGAGATAAATCGATAAAGTTTTGATCATCATATTCTAAATCAACAATAAACAACTAATTTGATTCAGAAAATCCAACCAAATAATCGCTCTCGTTGAACTCAACTCAAATTGCCTTGGAAAAGTCGATCGTCGATGATAATCGCAGCCCCCAAGTCCCTGCGCTGCGCCCTGCTGCTTTTCTCCCCCGAAAGAAATTCTGTCCCAAAAAACTCCTCCAGTCCGCGCTAACAAGCTGCTCCCCCCAAAAATTCCGCCCCCAGAGAAGTCCAATTCTTCTCGCCTTCCTCCTTTCTTTTTCCCTTCAGTTCCGTGTCCCATAAATTGCCCCCTGGCCCAAAATAATTACTGTCCCAAATAATTGCCTCCATCCCCCTTTCCGTGTCCCAGCTGCTTTCGGAGAGAAGAGTGGGCCGGCCCAAAAAAAATCCCCAGCCCACACAAGTCCAGTTTCGGTTCAACTCCTCAGTAAGTTCCGGTCCAATGTACATCCAGTCTACTTGAATTATTCTATTCACCAATGCAAATTTCTCATTTCATTTACCTGAAATATATAAAATATTTGGCACTTGATGGTAATGGTTTTATAACCATTCCAGGCTTAGTTGGACCTAAAACAAGTATTATATGTCTCAAACATATCATGTAATAATCACATTATGCACACAAAATCAATATGTTTTCGACAATTATCAACGTTGTTCGGTGTTGACCGTTTGACTTCGAGAGCAAGTTTGTCAATGTTCGTCAGTCAAATCGATATCTCTTGGTTGACTCAAATTTACATTGAAAATTAGAGATAAGAAGCGTTTGTGGAAAAGATAGAGAGTAACGGTTTAGTTGACTCAGTTTACTTAACTAAATAGGTAAAACTTACAGATTCGAACGTGTTTGACTAAGTTTGACCATATTCAATTTAAATATAGGCACGAGAACCCCCTTAGGAGTAGAGGTGGAAATCGGTCCTGTATCGGTATCCCAATACCGAATATCGAAATCCCGAATACCGAATTACACCTTGAAATCAATCCCAATCCCTTAATAATTTCCGTATTCCAATCCCAATCCCTAAATATTTCAGTATCCCAATCGGTAACTCGGTATCCCAATCGGTATTATCAAATACAAAATTAATTACTTTTGCCATAAATAATTAAATATATAAATTTGATTTTATTGTTTAATTTAGGGCAAAGAGACTAAGCAAAGAGTCTTGAGTTGCCTAGAGCTAACATCTCAAGTTTTTGTAATTGGTAATCTTTAATTTGATGAATTTGAGGTTGAGAGACGACTAATACTAGTGTGAATAGTGATATAATGATCTATGTATAATTAAATGACACTCTTGGTGGTTGAAGGTCGCGTAGTAGTGAATGAGAGAGTTTAGTTGAGAGGATAAAATACACACTAGCTTATATGTCGGTATATACCGATCTCAATCTCGTAATCCCTAATACCGAATAACAATTGAAACTCAATCCCAATCCCACAAAATAATACGTGTATTCGGTAATACCAAATATAGGCAATTCGGTACGGTATTCAGTATATCCCAAATACCGGTACCAAACTTCCAGCCCTACTTAGGAGGACCAGTTACAAGTTGGGTTTCGAGTTTCGTGGTCGCTCGACCAACGATTATTATTGTTATTATAATTAATTATTATTTGAGCATTATTATAAAATAATTGTTTATATTAAAATATATTTATTATTATATATTGATTTTTAATTTTATTATTTTATGATAATATTTTATAAATTTGATAAATCTATTTTATAATAATATAATCACTTGTTTTTCAGCCAATTTGCACCCCTACTTTTTCATCCAAACAACAATTTCTCCTCCACTTACACCCCACCAACTTGCACCCTTGTTGTCAAACATAGTGTCAATCGTTTGATGAACCCAAAACTAGGTGGAGAATTATGGATAATAAAAATAAAGTAAACGACATTGAATTGGGTGTCGTAGAGGCTAGAGAGATCACTTCCGTAGTAACTAGTAAGTTCGTCACCTCATCTAATCTCTTTTGATCCCATAATGGCAGCAAATTTGGGCATTTAATTTGGGTATTACTATTTATCGCCCTAAGTATTTGAATTTATCCGCCCTAAATTAACGACACGGACGATTTTGCCCCCGACTTAACCCCTCTGTCGTCTCACTCCCCAGCGCACACACAGCGCAGCCGCTGCCCTCCACTCAAAACCACCGCCGTCGTCGCCCTAAAAACCAGCACCACCGTCACCCTAAAACCAGCGCCACAGTCGCCGAGAAGGAAGGAGAATTAATATGCTTCAATTTTTTGGTTATTTGTTTAACGGTGACAACGGGGGTTAAACCATCACCGAGAGGGTAGAAACGTGTTGGAGATCCGCCTCTACCCCGTCGACGATGGGTTTCAACCCGCGTCATCGACGTAAGGAGAGGGGAGGGGCACGTGAGCTCGGGGACGAAGCTGCATGCATCATTGGTGGAAGCTTCCAAAACAGTGGATGATGAAAATGGTGATTATTGAATGATTGTGAAATTAGTAATTTCGTTAATTAGTTTTAGTCTTGTTGTGAAACTGGGAAAGCGGATGCTGCGGGAGGACAGGCGGCCAGACGATATAGCACAGAAGGCGCATGGAAGAATGGAGACATGACGGTGTTGTTGCGGAAGGAAGGGCGCTCAACGGGTCGGTGGATTATTAATTAAAACGAGGACATTTAAGTAATATTGGATGTTTTAGGGAGGATAAATTCAAATACTTAGGGCGTCAAATAGAAATTCAGTAAAATTTTTGCCACTGAACTTCCCCTCCCCCCCTCTCTCTATGCCTTCTTTCGTTTCCCTTGCCGCTCGCCTCCATCAAGATTTGTTCCAACGACAAAAGCTCTGCACTCTCCCCATCACTTCTCTCCTTCTCCCCATCCAATTTCTTCTCTTCTCCAGGATCCCAAAACTCAGGACATTCAGCCATGACTGCCACCGAACTCAAGTCTGCCGCCATTCTTAATCTCCTCAAGGCCTTCCTCGAGACAAACGAAGGCCTCCAAATCAGGAAGAAGGTCAATCTCGTCTACCAATTCAACATCGCCCTTAAGGTCACTTCCCCTTCTCTTGTGTTCGATATATTTTCCCCCCTCTCTGATCGAGTTCAGTCTGCGTGATCCCTTTGAAACATTTCTCCTCGGCCTCTCAGAAAATTGGGTTCGATGAGGTGATTTTCACAATTGATCTCAAGACAGGCCAGGTCACTAAAGGTTAGGCTTTTCAATCTCTTCCCCCTCCCCCGATCCTGTGTATGGGAAATTTTGAAGCGTGGTGTTTCTGTGTTCATTATGTTCATTTGGAATTCTGATGCAATGGAAGTTTGCAACTTTCCTGCAGTATATGTACTGTAGTTAAATGGGTATACACACAATTGAAATGGAATGTCCTCAATTGGGTCTGCAAACGTAGCTATGTGATTCTTCTTAGGATATGGTGAAATGATTGCTTACTTTACTTGTAATGTGGTGCACATTGAGACACCCTCAATTAGTACTTGGGATTTGATTGTTCGGAGTTTGCTGTGTTGTGGGGGAAGTCAGGTGCATATGAAGGAGGGAAGCCCGATGCTGTGTTTTCACTTAAAGATGAGGATTTTATTAAGCTTGCAACGGGGAAGATGAACCCTCAGATTGCTTTCATGAGGTTTGGCTTGCAAGCTACTGTATATCTTTCTTGTTTATCGAAGATTGATCTCTGACAATTGGGTTTTCATGTTTGATGTTTGTTGGCAAATGAAACAGGAGAGCATTGAAGATTAAGGGCAGCCTGAGTGCTGCTCAGAAGTTCACCCCTGATATCTTCCCTAAGCCGTCGAAGATGTAAGGACGAGGAGGCCTGCAGAGTTGGTTTGGTTAATTTCTCTGCTTGAACTACTGGTCTTGTTAGAAGAGTGATTCGTGACTCCCTTTTTCTCGTCTAATAGTTGCATTACTATGCCACAAATGTCCCAGTCTGTTTCACATCGGACTCATGTATGAGTAGTCATTTGCGTAGATGGGGTTTGATGATTGTGTTACTTTGGAACCAAGTTTTAAGTGGATCATACTTCACAATCAAATGACGTTCATCTTTTCCCCTTTCCAAATTCCTTATTATGGGTTGCGATCCTTCTGCTTTGCTCGTTTGCTCTTTTGGTCATGCATGCTCTCATTACACTCAGTAGTCTCTATAGAATGAGAACTGAGAAGTGAGAATGCAATTGATTGCCTTTTTGAGTTTTCCCTCCTTTTCTGAAATGCAATTGATGGCTTTGGTGGTACTAAAAAAAATGAAAACATACTCTCCATGAGCACCGGACTTAGTTTTGTCATCTTATTTTGGACTTAAATTTCACTCTTTGAACAACGCATTCTGGTTGGATACATGTAGATGTAGTGTGGAATTTCACGGATAAGGACGGATCAATATATAAACCCGCCTTGTTTGCTGGAACGGAGGATGAGATATTATGAAAGCCGCCTCTTTCAAAGGTGTCACCCTTAATACAGACGACTTCATGCACATCTGTACAGGTGTTGCTATATATATGGATTGATAATGTTTCTTGACAGTTAGACCTGGTAATCAGGTTCGGTTGGGTAACTTCGAATTGGTGGTTTCGGGTTACAGGTTCATTGCGATTTGGCCACACTGAGTTGGTTTATTTCATATTAAATATTGACCCAATGCAAAAAATTTGGTAAGGTTTCGGGTAATCTTGAGATACTACCATTCTCAGAAACAAGAACAAAAATTCTTGAAATTTCATCTAAGAACACATTATCACAATACATGATGATAATATAACTAAGACATGTTCATTGAAAACTTTCCGACCATCACATATTAATGAAAGTAAACAAAAGCACTAAAGAATACCAAGAGAGTTATAATACTAAAAGAAACACATGATATTTGGCTACCGCTACACTCCAAAACTTGATTTTCAAAATCCAACGAATTTCTTAAACATGATCAAGTTTTATGAATGCTTTTGTCATTTTGAATGTGAATAGAATATGGAGATTGTCGACCTGATGACTCATGACGGAAACTCCGTGATCTACTGCGTTCTCAGATCGGTTATGAAATTGGGAATTAGCTGGAAATAGAGAATTAGGGATTGAGAAAAAGATAGAGAATTAGGGGTTGATTGGAAATTTTGGGAATTAGCAATTGAAGAACATAATTGGGGTAGAACGGGAAGAAAGGTCGGTGACCTTGATAGGAAAGTGAGACAAGATTTTAGAGGATTAGGAGAGATTAGGTGTTGGGATAATGTATGTTTACCGTCTTTGGTTAAATTAAATGAATACTCAAAGTACATATTTGTATGAAAATAATTGAAAAATAAGATGAATAACCTAATACTACTCTACTACTACTAACCCTAACAATACATATCTTAATTATTATAATAAAATACTAATGGAACCCAAGATTTCCATTGATGTAGAAAACAAGTGATAATTGTAGAGATGTCTAGGGTTGTATTCCATGTGGTATTTTGATGGTAGCTACTCAAAATTAGATGCTCAAGTGATTAGGAGAAATAACATAAAGTAAACTAATGTGTTGGTTCCCTAATGAATTCTAATAACATACTAAAGGAAGCAAGAGTAAACGAGGCAAGGAGTGAAAGTAGAGAAAGTAAGAAATAATTGTTTTGAAAGTATCATCTAAATCATCATGCATATTTTCTCCTTGATAAGATGTCTATATGCATTGATGCTATGACAACATCATATCCCTTCCACTAAGGTCGTTTCCTACCTGTGCATGTGCATCTTGTGGTAGGGATTTAACTAGATAATGTGCTTTCGCTTCATATCATCAACTAATTAATAAAGTACGAAAAATTAAGGATAGTACATCATTAAGTGACAGCCTCTTCGAGCCATAACGATGTCTATGGTATTGGGGATCTTCAAGCATCAAGGATCATCATCATTTGAGGGTTGTACCTCCCCTCCATACATGCATAATGATGGTGCCTACAACATAAGATTAGTTTCCATGTCTACCATCCTAGTAGTATAATCAACACATATGGTAATGCATCATAGAAATATAACAAGCATACAAAGAACTAGACCATCCATGGTCCAAGAATAGGGATGTCAATTCAAACCCGCCCCATCGAGTATTACTCGACCTGAAACGCGGTGGGGCGGACATGAGTATCTACATTCGACCCGCCCTACCATGCCCTGCCCCGTTGTTGACCCATTTTATCGCAATTTCTTATAGTATCTATTCATATTTCTCCTATTTTTGCTTTTTTCAACTAGTTAGACTTGATATTTCAATTAGTTTGACTCAATTACTCATTATATTATCACTATTTTCATTCATAAAGTGTTTTCCATTTGTTTTATCGTAAAAAGTAGAATTTAGCGTGTAATATTTTCAAATGACATGTAGGAATGGGTCGACCCGCTCTGCCCCATACCTGCACGGGTATTACCCGCCCCGGCCCACCCCACTCCATTGCCATCACTATCCATGAAGGACCACCGATGGTCTAGGGATTTGAACCCACAACCTCTTACAAAAAGGAATGAGCTGTGTACAAACATTGCCAGAAACTCGTCATGTTTATATTATATACAGGGTTGCAAATGAGCCGAATAGAGCCAAATTTTGACATAGTTTGGGCTCAGCTCATTAATAATCAACTTGAGTTCGATCTACTTATTTGGTATAACATTGGTTTGTGTTTGACTCAAAATCGACTCAAACTAAGGTATCATTTCATTTAGTTCATAATTTTTAGTAGTTCGTATCATGTTAGTTAATAGTAATCAGTCTCTGAGCAATGTAGGATTCATGCTAAAATTATTAAGCATCATATGTGGTGAGGTATATAATCTAACAAATCTATGAATTATCAACAACCCAATGATAAGATAATAATCGATTGGCTCATAAGTTGCTAGTTGAGGTGGCAGGCTACCCATAATGTCGAGCCAACTCATAGCTCAAAGCTAGCTCAGAATTTGAGATCAACAAACCACTGAGCCGAGCTGGCTTAATAGCCTTGTGTGATAAACAAGAGTTAGCTCAAGTTTGGCTAGTTAGTAAACGAGCTGAGAGTCGAACGATTTTTTTCTAGCCGAACGTCGAGCAGCTCGTGAGCACCTCTGTTCAATTGCAAGCCTAATTATGAAGCTTACTATATTACATATAAAGTTAAAGTAACTATTTCTTTACTTATCTCTTTGAAATACATTCACATTTTGAAATACTTACAATAATATTTATTTGCTTGCATTTTCAATAATAATTATGACTCCTACTAAATTTCACAACATTGGATATTAGATTGTTTTAATGTAACTTATACTCCATAGCATGGGAAGTTAAACCAAAGTCATTATTGCACCATGTGTGAAAAATAAAATGAAACTCATAACTCAATAGCAAAGGTGATCGGAAAAATTTAAAGGCAAAATACATTTGTATAGCCAAAACTTTCACGCTTTTGCCAATAATAGCCAATTTTGAAGAAATACCACTTATAACCAGATGTTCTAATTGTTGTATGACAAATCTAGCCATTTCCATTAGATACTTTAACGGTGTTAGTAACATTGTCAACCTTTTTAACGGTTCGCTGACTAGGCTCTCAATAAGCACACACATCAGCGCCATAAGTGAAATGTGCGTTTTGAGCAAAGCACGGTCAAGGGAGAAGGACGGTCGTGCTTCTGCCCGTAATTCGCCTAGAATCGGGTTGAAAGAGGCAGATTCGAGCCAAAGGAAGGGGACTCGACTTTTTGGAGCAAAAACAGAGTTCTAGAGAGAGAAAGTGCGAAGAACAAACCCTAGGAGCTGTTTGGAGTGGATTTCTCACCATTGAATCCCAGATTGCATCCCCATGAGTGAAGATTGACATCCCAAAGCAGATTATTCTCATCTATATGAGTATGACTGCTTTGATTTTTGTTTTCCTCTCTCTCACTTGGGTATGAAGAACCTTAATTCCATGTGTTAGGGATTTGAGTTGTAATGACTTTTGGATTGATATAATGATTGATTTTAATCGACTGAAGTTTGTTTATTGAGTAAATTGAATCTTGATAAACTTCTTTTGATTTCTGCTGCAACCTGAGATAGATAGAATCTGATTAGGTTGTTAGAGATTCTTCAATCGATAGGAGTGAATTGATTGTACGAGAGTCAGTCAATTAACTCCTTTGTACTGGCATCTATTTTCAGTAGTGGAGTTCTGTGTTTATTGCCTTATCATTCTATCACGATGAAGACTAAGCATCTGCCGGTTAGTCTGTCTAAGAGGGCTTGGTCTGCTTAAGAGATTCCAAGCTACTGTCGGATCTTCCGTAGTTTAATCAACAGTAAATCAACCAAAGGGAATTACAACTTGGACCTAACTAAGGAGCTATGGGGACTCAATCCCGAGTGACCTAACCAAAGGGAACTTCAAACAATTTACTGCTTTCCTTCTGTTTAGTTTGAATTCACCTTCACTCACTTAGTCCCACTAGATAATAGAAGTTCACGGATTAGGCAGTACATCTAGACCCCGGGTTGATAAATTAAACTTACCCACTATTCTGCATTTCGAGACTGCGATTATACTTGGTCGTAGTTTGGTGTTGTGTCATAGCGTGTCAACCACCCATACTTGCAGTGACCATAGTGAGTACGTTGAACTTCGGAGTTCTTACAAGATTTCCTTCATTTCACCCCAAAATGTGTCTTGTCAGTTAAGGTCGGTTTCTTACTTGTCAGAAAGTACAAACTAAAGCTAGAATTATTTGGAAGTGGGTCCATAAATCTCGAACAGTACCATTTCACATATAACAATGAACACTATCATT